CTCGTCTCACTGTTTTGTCATTTCCTGAAAGCTACATTCCTCTTCAGCATGTGGAACCCTTGAAATACATGGTTATCATCATTCTGATACCACCTTGAGAGCTCTAGGACATGGTTTTGGAGCTGTGTGCTGTCTGGACACGTCAGCATTAGTCAGTCCAGAAGTGGGGAATATTCATGTGTGGAACCAAAATCGTGTCAGAAGTACAGGAAGAGCTAAACAGAAAAAGTCCAATAATAGAACAACATGTACAGCATTATAAATTCTTGTCATAAAATAAGAATTATTTACTTTTATAGAATCTCTACTTAATCTCAAGCAATAAGATAGCACTCATTTTTTAATTATTGTTTTGCAAATCAGAATATTGAAAGTGTAGAAAAATCTTTTTTTTTTTTTTTGGTAGTTAAATGTTGTAATGTTGCTGTTATTTACAATTTTACTGTGTAGAGCAATCTTATTCAATTTTGTTTTCTTTGACAGTGACAGAGGACTAGACTGCTACCAGTATTCGAAATACCAAAGGTGTTTTTTATTTTTCTTTGAAACATCAAATTTTAAATTCAGAGTTTTATATGGATAGAATTATAAAATCATATGATCACCAAGGTTGGAAAAGACCCCTAAGATCATCTAGTCCAACCATCCACCTACCAACAATATTTTCCTGCTAAACCCCATCCCTCAGTACAACTTGTGAAAATTTCTTGAACACCTCCTTGGACAGTGACTCAACCACCTCCCTGGGCAGCCATTTCCAGCACCTGACCACTCTTTAAAAGAAATTTTTCCTAATATCCAACCCACATCTCCTCTGATTCAACTTGAGGCCATTCCCTCTAGTCCTGTCACTAGTTACTCAGGAGAAGAGGCTGACCCCCACCTTTCCACAACTTCCTTTCAGGTGGTTGTAGAGAGCAGTAAACTCACAGAGCCAGCTACATGTGAGTAAAAATTTGTCAAAGCCTGTACTGAAGATAAAACTTTTAATGACTTTTACAAAATTATTTGATTAACAGTCATGTTGGAAAATATTTTTATTTTTATTGGGATTTCCAAAATGCTGTAAAAAAACGTAACTTCTAAACACTTTGTTTTTCTGTAGCATTTGCAAGACGCACAATGATCTCTTTATTGAAATAATTCTTCTCATGCCTTTGAGTGTAAGTGCCTTCTAATGTACATGTTCATGGATTTAGAACTGTGTTGGTCATATATGTTTTTTTCAGATTTCACTGATTATTTATAAACTGCAGTTGTACAGAGTAATTCAATGAGGCAGGAGAAGTCACGAGTATTGAACCACATGGACTGTTCTGGCTGTCCACATTTCGTTTTCTCTATTTTGTGCATTCTTTAATACTACTAAGAAATTTAGCAGAACAAGAACACATCATAATACATATTTTAAATCTCTTCCACTATGGTATTTGAAATGGAAAAAATAGAATACCAGCATTCTCTAAGTGTCCATATTTATTTCAGGCAGATTTGAGAGTAATTAACATTATCAATTTATAGAGATTATGTTTTGAGTTCTCATCTATGGCAACGTCCATACTGTTTCTCCAGCGAGGATGCAGTGTACTTCATGTTCCTATGTGTGCTTCCTCTTCCTTTTCCAGTTCTGGTCTGCTGGTGTGAGAGAAATGGCACTAATATGTGCTGTCCGTACTCACTGCAGGAGTGAATTAAACCTCAGAAAGATTTTACCAAGGGATATCAAGTTCTCATTGGCACAGTGTCCAAGATTAGGGCTGTCCCTGTTTCGCATTTTGTGTTTGCAGTTCCAAGTTAGATAAAAAGACTGACATTATGGCTGAAAGCAGATTACTTCTTTCTCAGTATATTCTAATTTTGATGATACCATTTACAAGATCAGGAAAATATAGCATGGTTTCAGTTTTTGCTTCAGGGTAAAACTGTGTGTTATATTTTTGTCCTATCTTCTTCACTGCTCTTCAAAGGAGTCCAAAGCAGTCAGCTTCTGTCACTTCTCTCCATTCTTTCCAAGCTGTTCTTCAGTGTGTGTTGTTACTGTATCTGTTTATAGTATCCCAGTAAGTACTTCATTTTTTTACCCAGGTGCCTGTTAGCCAACTTACTTTGTAGGATGATGAAATACAGACACAGAGGTATTTTTGAAGTCTGTGTGGAAAATGATTGTATTTTCTAGCATTTTTAATAGGCATGCATTTCGCTTCAGGATAGTCTGGGAATCATCTCTAGACATAGACAACTATTTCTATCTATCTATTTATTTATTTATTTGAGAATTTTCTTGCAATGAATTTGCACTCACATTTCATATATTTTTGTTTGTCAGGAATGTTTGCTCAACAATATATTTTAGTGAAGTACAGAATAATGAATGGAATTGTATCAATTAGTCTTGATTCTTTGAGGTGCTGTAATAAGGCAACTGCAGCATAAGACCAGGAACAGCTTAACTGCTTATGAAGTAATCAGGGGAATATATACATTCTGTGGACTGCAGCGAAAAAATATCACATATTTTGCATTATTTTATGAACAATTTCAAGGAGGTCATTCTCAGACAATTTTGAAAAACTAGAGGTTAATTGTTAAATATTGATATTTTATGAATCATTTGGGCCATATTATTTTATTGCCTATAATTGTTATGCATTTTATTCATTTTTGTTGACTTTGAATGAAAATATCTCATTGGTTTTGAAATCAATTGAATCAACTCATAAATCTGTTTCAAAATGCTTCTTAGTAAATATTTGGTGATAGTGAGAGTGGATATTGTGGTTGTCAAAAATCTTCTTCCATTCAGAGTATTGATTATGTTTTGGTTTTCTTTTTCCCTAGAGAGATAAAAAGTAGTTTCCTTGAGACTTATTATTTTTCAGTCATTCATGTTTGAATAAAATATGTTTTCTCATACATACGTACATACAACTTCAGAAAGTTACTATGGTATGTATGTCTATGTAGCAAAATATTTGGAGTATTTTCCAGCAGTAGAAAATAATGAGATAAAACAAGAAGGAGAATCTTTTATGATCTCTACTTAGAGATCTTTGTGATTCTTTTGTTTTCTTTTCTTAACATCAATTAACACTCATATCTCTGCTTTGGAATGTATGGAGTCAATTATTGTGAGTGTACTTTGTAGTGATTTATATCTATATCTATAGACCAGTGCAGCCTGGTCTGGTGGTTGGTGACCCTGCACATACCAGGGGGGTTGAAACTAGATGATCATTGTGGTCCTTTTCAACCCAGGCCATTCTATGATTCTATGATTAGATAGTGAATTTCAGTATTTGGTATTAGTGTTGAACTGTAAAAAATTTCCTTTTGATGTTCAGAAAGTAACACTGTTTCTATGAATCATTGTTACAGGTTGTTTCAGTGTATATCTTTTCACAACTTAAACTTTGACTTCTTTGAGAAATACTTCTAGCTAAGGTAAAATCAGAAATAAATTGGCCAAAGTACATGTAATATATAATAAATAATCATTAGATAAATTATACTTGTCTTGTGCTTGTAAAATATAGGTATATGAGAGATTAGAAAATTCTTGGCTTTTTTCTTTGTTTGTTTTAAATAAATTGCATTTTAGTTATCCCGGGAAATCCTCTTTCTGCAAGTTACTTTCAGCACTGCAGTACTTTAGCATGTTTAGTAGTAAATTCATCATTTGTTTCTTCCTTTTATTTATGTTTTGAATGTATAATGAAAACAGAATGTTCAGCATCAGAAGTTTTGTAAGAGATGGCTGGAATTATTAATGGTTGCCAATTCAAAGTAATTTAGATTTTCTCCTGCATTAGGTTTTCATAACCATGTGTCTGTACTGTGAGATTTTCACAGGAAACAAAATTCAGTGTTCATGGAGTCCAATGCTCTTTTCCGTCTTAGAAATCTGATATAAAGAATACTGTATATGACTGTTTTATTTTGAATATAAGATTCTTAGTTGTACGCATATTTTCCTGCATTCACTGATGCAACAGTTTGTGTAAGGTCATGAATATATGTAGTTATAGAGTTGAACATTAAAGTTTTCTTCTCTCCCTTTTCCACTTTTGTCAGTAATGAAGGTAGGTATACATCACTATTTTGTATCAGCTTTTTTTTTTTTTCTTAAATGAAATAATAATGAAACAAAGAAGTAAAGTTTCCCAATACTACAGAACAAGTAATTTGTAGAGCCAGATTAAAAATAACTTTATTTTTTTCTCTCAGGTATACTTCTCCATGGAAGTTGAAGTGTAAATGACTGGGGTTTTTTTTGTTTTTTTTTTCTTAACTGTTTTCCCTCCTCTTTTATAGTCTTGAAAGTCAAATAGGTTTGAATTAGGGGATTGGGATATTGTTTTTTATCAAGTCGATGAATATAAAAATTATTTTCTAGACAATTGGGAGCTAGTATTCATTTTTATCTCCTCCCTTCTTCCTTGCAATAATATAAAAATGAAATCCAGAAATTTGAGTTACATCTATGGATCGTGTTTTTAATAATTTTAAGCTTCTGACAAGAAAATACAAATAATGCAATTTAGAAGTCTGTGTCTGGATTTGTATTTTGATCATTGTTTCGTGGGGCCTTAGGGGCATTTTAAGAACAGAAGTGATAATGCCAACTGTTATATGAGACACTGATTTTACACATAATATTTTCATTAACCACATCATCATAGCAAAGTGAATGAGGTCATAATGAGGCTTTCAGTATGTCATTCACTGGGCCAGTTGATAATTTTTGTGATTTACCTTGACTGTATTCCTTTAAGCATGTACTTATTCCCATGATTATACTGCCTAGAAGTAGAACAGCATCTTTTCTCTATATTTTTAATTCATTTGACAAATTTTGAAATTGCCTATCTGTCAGTAATAGTTTCACCCCAGGTGGAGAAATGCTTTCAGTCATACTGTATCAGTGGTGTTTAATATATAAAGCATATATAAATATACATATCTGTATAAAACCTTTCTTTTTCCTAAATCAATGTAAACAGAGCCCAGATGGCCGTATAGAAGTCAAAGGGCAGCATGGAAAATCGTCACTGCATATTAAAGATGTGAAGTTGTCAGATTCAGGGAGATATGACTGTGAAGCTGCAAGTAGAATTGGTGGGCACCAAAAGAGCATGTACCTTGATATTGAATGTAAGTTCCCATATTTTGTTTTCTCTTTAAAAATTGTTTTAAAAAACAAGAGTACATTCTTAATGGAAGGTCAGTTTTTTCTTGATGTTTAAACTTGCATAATTTAAGAAAGTATGTACGTCTGTAGTCAGTGATAATGAATTCTGTGGAGGAATCTTTTTTGAAGTTTACATGACTCCTTGTCAGGGATTTAAGCACAACAGGGTTTCATCTCATATCATATTCTGATGGTTCTAGCTACTTAATTAATGCCAAATTTCAAGTCTTTGGGCTAAGGGAGACTGCTGTGGGGGCAAAGTATTCAGTAAGGACTGATTTGAGCAACAGCTGAGGCTGGAGCTTAAACTTCTAAGATTAAACACTTTTTGGTTTGGTTTGGTTTTGTTTTGTAGTTCTCTTAATCCCCTAAAAGTATCCCTTTGTTACATCTCCTCATGGAGTTCAAGGTTTGTGACGATTTTATTTACACACGGTGCTTTGTGGACAGACCATTTCATTCAAAATTTTTGAATTTTGTCTAGGAGGCAAGTAAGATGTACTTTTGCTTAGAGAAGAGTCTGATGTTTTAGAAGCCATCGGAAGGTTTTTATTTTCAAATACAGGAAAATACAGTGGAAAATTGTCTCTTAAAACACACTTTTGTTCAAACTTCTGAAGCAAAACTTCTGTATCTGTAATACAGAGATCAGTAATGATTGCAGACTTTTAAATGATTGATTTCTGAAAGGGTTCTGAAAGTTACTTCAGTACACTGTGCATGTTCCATTAAATTTTTAATGTTTATATTGGAAAGAAATCTGAAAGAAAAACAAGAATTTTTCTACATTGGAATTGGAATTGGATGTGCACTGATAATTATTTATATTTATGTATTCAAGGGAAAAATTCTTCATTAGATAAAAATGAAAGTTCATTGAAGCTCCTTTAAAATTTCTGTACAGCTCCAGATCATATCTTACCCTACACGTAAAATGACATAAAATATATTGTTTGATTAAGTTTATGTAGCCTTTATGACTTAAAATTCAATATTGTTGTGGTTTTGTGGTTTTGTGGGTTTTTTTTGTTTGTTTGTTTGTTTTGTATTCACAAGGGAGTTATAGAATGTGTTATATTTTATGAAACATTAGCAACAGAAAATGAAGAATTCATTAGAAGCACAGAAGCACATACCAAAGGCCACAACAAAATTTCTGTTTCTACGCTTAATGTCATTTTAACATCTTTCAGGGTGAAATTTTTGAAGATAATGCTAGTAATTTAAATATTCCAATATGTTCTAATTGAATTAATGTGACTAGTATGGCACACTTAATTTGCAGTATGTATAGAAACAATCTATGTGTGAAGATGGATTAGCGTACTGTTTTGATTCTGAGTTTATGCCTTAGTACAAACACTTTTTGACACAACTGAAAACATTGCAGTTTAGAAGTCTGATAAAAACAGTTTTTAAAATAACATAGATGTATTATTCTATCATCAGAGAGATCACACATTGTGATGATTATTTTTAATGTATAACACAAGTTTTTTATTTAATCTAGTGTAAAATGGAATTTATAAAACTGGAATCTCCAGTTTTGAAAACTTGAACCGATATTGAAGTTTAAGCCAAATAACGTGTTTTTCTTTTCTAGCACAGGTGTTCTTTGAATACCAAAAGTAGAAACATTTTCATAGCCAATAAGTGTCGAGTAATTTTATAATGCAGTGCTAGTATATTTGAGGGGATACAATGTAAGTCTGTCTCTGTTGACATTCTGACTAATTCCTTAGAGCAGTTTTAAATTTGTGTTGAAAATAACTTTGAATCAGTGTGTGGACTGCAACTGTAGGTTGCTTGTCTTACTCGGGCAAAAAAAAGCAACTTGTCTAATGGCAAAGACTTCTGTCCTTTAAAATAATGTCCTCAGAGGACAGGGTCTTTATTCTGGCCTCATCCTCCATCAGTCTCGTTTCTGTCATAACCTTCTGTGATGAAACAGTCTTATCAAGTGATCTGTCAGAAGATGATTCTTACCACTTTTTCCCCATAGTGTTTTGTTGCCAAAAATAGCAGAGTGCTTTTCTCAAAGTGCTTTTTTTCCCCCTTTCGTGTGTGTGAATTTCTTTTGTTTTGTAGTAAGTGCCATAGTTACCTTTCATTTATTATTTTCTTTTATAATTAAGCAAGTTAGAAACTTTCAACTGAAGTTACATGTTCAAAAACTAAATAACTTATTGGTCTTCACAGCAAAAATGGAAAAAGAGGGGAATTTTTAAAGATTCTGTGAAGTTGATATTGAATAAATGATTTGACCTTCTTTCTACTGTTGATCTTTTTTCAGTATATTGTTTATATGAACATTGCTATCAGGGTTGCTTTTTTTTTTTTTTTAAATGATACTACAGATATGAAAAGTTATGTAATTTCTATTTCATTGATTTTGGTTTTGTTTTGTTCAGACTGAATTTTGAGATGAATTTTTTTTTCAGATTTGCTCTTTGCATAATCACTAGTAGACCATTCTATCAGAATTTTTATTATTTTAATAACATCCTTGTATAAATTTCAGTATTTTCAAATTAAAACATAAATAAAGAACCAAGGCCTATTTGTATATATTGTTCCATAGCTCCTAGACATGAATAAGTGATGCACCTAATGCTACTCCATAATATCAGTAGTCTTCTTTATATGTTTTTAAGGCATTTGGTAGTTTTTGTTGTCAGGAGGGAAGGCATGTTCTTGGCACATTCTCAAACGACAGTGCAGTTAAACAGCCCTAACAGCCCACAAAGTGCCCTGGTGTCACTGTCTCATCCTTTACTTAACTTACTGTCCTCTATCAGAGACTTAAACTGACTGGGATTGCACAGAGTTTCTGTACTTTATCCTTGTTCTCTGTTGAGGTTTTTTTTGATGATAAGAGCAGTTCTCCAGGACAGAAGGAGATTATCAGGTTTGATACCATCTGGGTGCAGTTAACCCTGCCTTTTATCTGAAGTAAATGCTAGACAGCCATAAATTGTTTGGAGCTCAGAGGCACTTCAGTGATTTCTCCCTACAAAGTTGTCTTCGTGTTCAGTTCTGTTTGGCTTTCCTTATATTTAATATGTAAAAAAAAAAAGTACATGAAAAATAAGATATCATTCTTAATATTGTTCATTAACGAATATAATCAACTGCAAATTTTGATTATACGTATGAAGCTGAGTATTGGTTGTTATTAACATTAATCATAATTACTACTGCCAGTAATAAGAATAATTGAATCAACTAATTTTTTTAAAAAATTAGATATAGCAGAAAGTACTCTAAAGATGGGGTTTTCAAAAGGACCTAAGGAGATAAAATGCCTAAATCCCAGTGAATAACAAAGTGATTTGGACATACAAATCAGGAGCCTTTCCAAGTCAAGTTTTCAGTACAAATGTTTGCATTTCTATATGGTACTGTTGTGGTTTTAGCTGAGATATGTTTGTTCTGAAAATATATACTGGGGATATAAGGGAATCTTAAAAATCACAATATAGATCTGATTAAAAGAAGAAAATTTTTGATGAGAGAACACATTATTTCTTGGGTGTTTTTCTACAAATTATTCACTGCAGTGATTAGCATTAGAGAATGAAAATGCATATTTTTGAGGTAATAGATATGATGGGTAATCTATCTTCAGGTATAATTCTCAGTGAGCATGTATTACAAATTTGGAAAGGATTTAAACAATCCTACTATGACTCCTACAAGACTCCTACAAGACTATGACTCCTACAAGCAGTTCTCTGCTTGCCGTTAAAGTTTTCTCTTCATTGTGTTTCAACTGTCATTAACACAATCAGAAGTATTCAAACCACTTAATTGTTTACACCTAGGAGCACGCATGTGCACGCTACAGTAATACACATGTATATCCAATCACTCTATATCACCAAAGGGAATTGCAAGTTCCTTTGGAGAATTCATCCCTTACCAGCAAAAACTTTCTATGTCGTGTTGCTTGGAAAACGCTTTTTGTTTTTTCCTACTGCCTAGGAAGCATCCTAACATAGTTTTTCATAGCTGCAATTACAGGTTTTCGTATCACTCAGTTCCATTTGAAATTCTCCATTCTGCAGTTATTAAATATGTTGTAAGGTCCAACCTCATGGTAAGCTAGTGTTATGGGTAATAGACTATCAATCACAAACATATTAAATTCGGTAATATGGTACATTTTTATATGAGAGCAGCCACATGAGTGGTTAAAAAATATGATTTCTTAGAAAACAATTTCTGGAAAACATTTAAGTAATTAATAATTTCACCCATAAATAAGGAGATTTGCTTACTAATATTCTTTTTGTCCAAAGCTGAATTTTGTAGTTTTATTCCTTATTACATACCAACATTTTTTCAGTTACACACACAAAAAAATTGTGTACCAGTGCAGAATACTATTTATCAGTAAATTAACTTTTGCAGTATTTATTATTTTATTTTACTGCTTATCAAAAAGTCTTTTTTTTTTTTTTTTTTCCTCCTCAACTCGAAATCAATCTCTTTACTGTTAAATTAATTGACTTTTGCTTTCTGAATAGGTTAACCTTTTAGGCCTTCGTTATGTTAGTCAGCTGTTTCAGATGCTTTGGATTCTTACTATTTAATTTATACCTTTGCAAAAACACATTTTTTGCAAAAAAAACAATTACTTAAAAGCAGACTGAATAAGTTGAGCCACAAATCCTACCTTACTTCAGTGAAGGAAGGCTTTGAATTAGTGAAAATAATATTGCTGTACATAACAAAAGCTGTAGTCTATTTGGTTCCAAATAGAATTCCAGGTATGTACTGATACTGTAATTCTACAAATATGATCAGTGTAGGAACAGCCCATTACTACTAACGTAGTTACCAAATGTTTGATTGGATGGGATTGCCTCTTGTCCTGTCACTGGCACCACTGAAAAGAACCTGATTCCATCTACTTAGACCGTCCCTTTGGATATTTGTGTGCACTGATGAGATCTCCACT